TCCCTTCTTCACATATTTTACCTGTGTGACATGCCTCTTGATTGGATGATGAACGAATTGCATAACGCTCAATAGCCTCCCATACCCTTGATACTAAAAACGGTTGGATATTTCGTATCCTCGGGCAAATTTATCAGGACGTATCAGGGAGATACTAATTCACCCGTTTGTGTATTGCATAACACTTTCATTCATTGAAATGCACACCAATACAGGGCCGTGAACTTTTGCTGACAGGTTCCGGATCATTTCTGAGGCTCGTATTATTTTCAGACTTTTACAGGCATGAGCAAATTTTGTTTATTTCTTGGAATCGGGGATGTTAATTTTAGGGGAATAACATACGATCGCAGGGATCAGGCCCAGTTTTGAAAGTCAGTGGCGTGGCGTGAATTGCGATGTATCGATTGTTATGCCATTTAAACCTACAGAAAATGATCGATAAACAGGGTGTTCGTAACGAGCACCTTAATAATCGATTTTTTACCATAGTTTCAAATGGGGTGGTAATATTGATAATCGATCGATCACACCTCGGCACTGTTGAAAGTCGGAACTTCTGGCTGTTCTTAAGAATATAATCATGACTGAGGCTGAAACTGACTTCTGACATTTTGTCGCTGTTGATTTAATAGCATGATAAGATTAAACTGAAACAGATTTACCTGGGATTTGTGTGTGTTCGATATTTTGTCAAATTATTGTCCTGTCGGATGAAAAAACAAGTATCTACACTGACGTCTGTGATTGACGACCAATCAATTTCCTGACCGAAAAAAGGACAATATGGTAACTGAAAGATACAGCTGAGCAATCACAAACTTCTATTCCAAGTCGGTCTTAAATAACCGATCATCGAAAACAAAATTTCAACAATTGAATCTCTCAGTTCAAAAACGACCCATCTCGGAAATATTAAATATTTTAAGAGCCGATAAAAACTGCGTAATGGTCCAGTTACACGATCAAATTGAGCCATCAAATTGAAGCTCTGATTGGTGGAAAAAGACCTGAGGTGAGGATGCGACCAATGAGAGACCCAATTTGATGGCTCAATTTGATCGTGTAACTGGACCTTAACAGGCGAAAAAGGAGTGGTACTACGCGAAAAAATGAGCATCGTAAAAAACCCGAGTTGGGTCTTTTTTGAACTGTGAGATTCAATTGGTCTATCGCATTTTCTGTAAAATGAACTACTTTTCAAGATTCGTTTTTTGGGAGGTGGAGAGCATCATTTTTCACCACCTTGAAAAGAAGTTTATGTTACGTTATTTTACGTCATATTACGTTATGTTATGTTATATTATGTTGTGTTATGTTATGTTATGTTATGTAATGCCATGTAATGTTATGTTATGCTATGATATGATACGGTATGTTACACTATGAAAATAAATTTTCGGACTTATAATATATCATAACCCTACAACTGAAAATATTTTCCGCCCTGTCAAACCATCGCTACCTCTGTATTTTTGGATTTCGCATATAAAATACTCCATCGTGTGTCTGCACGATCGCCGAGAGTGTCAGTTTGCGTGTATGTGCGATGATAAAGCACGGTACACATTTAGGGCATGAGTGTAGATGGAAGATATAATATTTTTTCAGGAATGATGTAAGCTGTTGTAAACGGTAAGATCTCCGGCGGCTCAAGTCAGTGACCGGGGACGGCCGAGGTCCGACAGTGGCACATTGCAGCATGAGCTGTGCACCCACCGTGGAATGATGACTCCTCAAAATAAACGCTTCACTGAAATCAAGCAGGTCTTCCAATTGGAGCTCCGACCGAGAGCCACTGCCTCGTGAACTTACCTACAATTGGACTCAAAGGTGCTTGATCTTTGCAGGCTATAGCCGGAGAAAATGAGAGACCCTCACTGAAAAAAAAATCTCGGTGTATTTACTAAGAAAATAGTAAAATTACCAAGAATTCAGGGTTCTATTTGATCCCAGCTTTTTCTTGGTAAAATTACCATTTATGGAATTGGTAATTTTACCGAGAAATCTCGGTAAAATGATTGACATTCTCGGTAATTTTACTGGACCCCGGTAAAAACGCCAATATTTTTTATCGACTGTGGTAGAATTACCGAGGTAAAATGGCAAAGTTACCGGGAATTGATTACCAATAAAAGTGGTATTCTTACCTGAAAAAAAAAACCGTAAAAATACCGGTTTTTAGGTAAGCTTACCAGTCTGTCTTGGTAAAATTACCAATAATTGGTAAAAAAGTGAGATGGTGAAGGCAACAACGGAACTTGGTAAAAACGCCGAGAATTTTTTTTCAGTGCTCCATTGGTATCTTGGCAATGCTGCCATGCCAAGAAAGAACGCCGTATGAGCCATCAGGCATTGCCAAATTTCTTTCAACAAATCACAAATTTTCAGGAAATTCTGTGGATATTTCTCCTCCAATTTTTCACAGGATTTCGTTTGTGGTTAAACGTAAAAAGTCTGAAAATTTCAAGAAAAAATATCCATAACTTTCCTAAAAAATAGATATTTTATCGGAGGAAATTTGGCAACGTCCGAATGTTCATACAGCGTTCTTCCTTAGCACGGCAGAATGGTGGAAGCTTTTACTTTCGGGATTCCGACATTGAACTGTTGACTTAACTACTTGGTGAATGTTGAACAACGTGTTGGCCGTAAAAAAATACCGAAGTTTGGCAAACTTGTTTGACTTATACTTTTTTCCTTGTGTTAACACTCACCGAAAGTACGTCGTTTCATATATATGCAATGCAAATACACCCTCTTGAAGAAACTAAGGTAAATTATGAAATTCATGCACTCCATAAGAGTATCCTTCCGCAAGTTAAGAAAGATAATGAACCGGAAAATGAAGGGTAGAAGACTCGGGCAAAATTTGAGGTCGTATGTCGAGCAAAAATTGAAACTTATGGAGACACCCGGGAGCGACTTCATACTTTTCCCGGAACTTTCGAACCATTTCCCGGGCCAAATTTAGCCACACAGACTCACCTGCATGTTATCGTAACATTTTCAATAAACTTGATTAGGTTGACTTCCAGGAACCTCGGATGGGAGTGCAGGTAGGGGGAGGGAGAGTCTAGTAATGGGGGCAGTCCGTAAATAACGCTTATTGATTACTTTCGCGGAGGAAGAAACCAGAGAGGACATTTTCTGGTCCTTTTTATATTTATCTACAAATTGTACGCCGGGAAATCTTCGCAATGAATTGGCAAGCTACACTTCTACTTCCCAGAAATCAAAAATCTTTTTGACAGTCTCAGCGGGACACCAACAGATAACCATCAATTTTGTTCTCGTCTTTAGGATTCTACAACCGGAGCACGATATCCTACAAAACTCAATGATCGACTGCCCATGGAGCGCAGGTTGCGATGATATAATTCAACTATTGCCACCCTGTATCGGCACGTTGTGCTTGTTGCCTATCTCCTAATTGAAGTGGCTCCTGTTACTGGAGTGTATTGCAATGAAAATCCCAATGCATTGTAAATTTCTTATCTTTCTGAGACATGGTACTTATTTTCTTGATCGTTTAAAATTGGCATTAAATGCCCAAGTGCTGAAAAACATTGTAGTTTTATGGAAAAACATTTCAATGTGATCGCACTAACTTTCAACTTAATTTTAAAGTGTTCGTCACACTGTCCTGCCGTGCAAAGGATGACTGTCGCATGAGCTTTCAGTCGTTGCCAAATTTCCTTCGATAAATTTCAGGAAATCTATGAATATTTTCCTGCGATTTTTTTTGGATAGTTTGATTCGCTCTCAGATCTAAAGTATCTGAGAATTTCAAGAGAAAATATTCATTACCATCCTCAAAAATGAACATTATTCGATCGGAGAAAATTATGCAACTCTCGACACCTCTCATTAACTGAGTGTTCGACAAAAGGATCACTACGTTCGGGTTCACTTTGTCGTTTCATCCACGAAGAAACGTAACCAAAATTCAATTTAGCCAAATTTCCGCTTGCAAATTGTATTTTTATGTTTAAAATGATTGTGGCCATTTCTAACTGAAAAATTTATTGACTTTTCTTCTGATCTCATACAAAAATCAGAAAACTTTAGGGGGAAATCTGCGCAGGGACATTCTTGTTAAAGATTAAACCAATTGTTTGACTCAATTTGCAACCTTGGAATGGAGTGACGTCCTCTCGTCCAGGAGACGCGGAAATTCGACGGCACCGAAATGATTCCGACGCAACTTGGACCGAGTCAATAGATGCAGTTGGACAAAATATGGAAACTTTGAAAGCTTATATTTTTGAAAATATGAAACAAAAAAGTTCAGAAGTAGTTCTGATGGGGTTTTCATGAAATGTTCTCTCAGGAACATCCCTTAAAATTGAAATTATGACAATATAAACATTGAAGTTTGAAATTGGACGTATTTCTATCAAATGGACGTATTTCTGTCAAACGGAACTATGTGCACTAAGGCATGAGCCCTGAGACCCATGAGAATATATGCATAACAGGGCTCAAACCATAATGCACATAGTTCCGTTTGACAGAAATACGTCCAAATGGAACTAAGCGCAAATTTGAGTTCCTTTTGAGGAATTAAGAATCCCGGATAGCGCGTTCTGTCTAACGGACCCAAGCGCCATGGAAAAGCATTGCGAGTATAGGACGGAATAAGCAGGACGCCCGCGCGATTCCGCCGGCAATCCAAGCCCCCCTTTACCTTCCTCGCCCTATGGCGCTTAGGTCCGTTTGATAAAAATACGTCCAATTTTAGTCGGAAAAGTCTTCTCCGACCTCATCTATTAGCTCGATCCAGTGGCGTGGCGTGCTTTGCGATATATCGATTTTTATGTCATTTAAACCTATGGAAAAGGATCGATAAACAGGGTTTTCGCAGCGAACATCTTAATAATCGATTCTTTACCATAGGTTTACATGACATAACAGTCGATATATCGCAATTCACGCCACGCCACTGTCTCGATCCACTGTGCGACATGAGCGTTTCTTGAAAGTACGTTGAAATTTACCTGGCACATCCTTCGAGCTGCCTGGGAGCGTACTTGAGCTTGTTGTTGGAGAGATCGAGGACTTGGAGCTTGTCGAGGTTCTGGAGGACCGGCGGGACCTCCCTAAGCGAGGTGCCGGACAGGGACAGGCGTCGCAGATTCGGGAGTCGCTCCAGGAGATCCAAATTCGACTCGGTCGCCGAGAGCCGGTTGTTGGAGAGCACCAGCTCCTCCGCGTGCATCCACCTCGATACCAGATCCTCCGGCAGGTACTCGAGCCCGGCTCCCGATAAATTCACCTGCTTCTCCGAGCATTTCTCATTCTCCGAGGCCTGAAATACGAAACGAGTTAGGTTAATCACTTACAGACGAATGAAAAAATAAAACACTAAGAAGTGGCCCGAACTGTACGTAACAAGGTGGAGAAATGGTGCTGGGTCCACCCCATTTCGCGGGTCTGCTGATGAGGTCTAACAAGGCCCAAACCGGTATAGATCTCTCGGCGTGACTCCAACTTAATATTCCAATGCAAACTGCCTGAGCTGAACACTCTCCCCCTTAGTTTCGTACTGGTGCGCATAATAGTTCAAAAAATTTAATTTTGACTCTAATTTTAATTTTTGGAATTTCTTGGCTTTGTTTTCCCCGCGAAATGGTGTGGACCCAGCACCATTTCTCCACCTTGTCACTTACAGACGTATATTCTCATATCAACCCCCGGACGGTGCATTGACGATTCCGAACAAAAATTCCGATTTTGACATTTCCACACAAGAACCTGAATTGACATTTCCGCACAATATCAGCCGGGAAAACTTTACTTGTGGCACGACTTGGCAACACCGCGCAGATAATTGAATCGTGTTTCTCTTATTTCACATACAAGAAAATTTAGAAGAATTAGAGGGAAACATTTTACTGGCCTATTGTTCATCGGTGATCGCTGCATTTTTTTGTAAAAGATAACACCTTGAGTTTTTTCATCATTTGATGGCAAGGAAACTTGTGTACCTTCATGCAACTTGTGCGGGAAATATATTGTGGATAGACCTCAATCACGATCGTTGTGAGGAAATATCAAAATCCCAGATTTTGTGCGGAAATTGCATACTTCCCTACGGAAGACGATAAAGCACAATAAACATAGTCCGAATATACGAAAAAAAGGGAGGGAATTAAAACATGGGTAAAAAAGGCTGAAACATTAAGAAAACACTGAAAGGCAGGACGTTTCGAGCTGTTACGAGCTCATTTTCAGTTGCAAAAACACAAAAAAATAAATTAAAAATTGTGTGCCCCGGACGAGAAAACGTAACTCCATTCCGAAGTTGCAAAATTGACTCAAACATTTTTTGCAATCTGAGTTTGGAGTCTTCAACCACGCAAACACTTTTAGGACTGGCGCGCAGCTGATGTCTCCGTCCAGAAAATGTTCATACTAATATAATATACAACGACTGATCGACTGTCACTAACAATGACATCGATGACCAAAGTGTGAAATCACGTATCTCCTCTGCGGTGTTTCAAAATCTCCACCCTGCTATATTTTTTCGTAAAGAAGGAAGCAATATAGCTTGAAATTTATACAGAATATTCCATTCCTAGAGAGGAAAAATCAAGGAACTTCTCAAGAAATTACACTGACTAGTTTTTCGAAGAAAAAATGAAGTATGACAGGAAGTCACAACGTTACAAACGGAGATACTTGGCCTCGCACTTTGGCCATAGACTTACTTTTTGGCGTTCTCCTGACATACGGGCATTACTACATTTCGCGCTGAACCCTGTCGTTCGTATAACTCAATGTTTTCCCGGGCTCATTTCTAAGAGTGGTTACGCCCTTTTGTCAGCCAAACGACTTTTTAATAGACTAATTTAGTGAATACGTCAATCGATATAATCGGTAATCCAGGATTGCGCGAAAGGTTTAAGAAAATATATGAGGATTGCGCGGATAGAAACCTGAATAGAACATCAGCTTCAGAAATGCACGACTTTAAGATGAAGTTAATTTAAGGTAGAAGTTTGGCAAAACAGGAAACAGTTGGAAAATAAACCCATTTTTATGTCAACGCTAGTTTAGGTTAGTTTGTTGACATATCATCGATGTCTTACCTTCTGGTGATAGATGAAGTGAAAAGATTGAATAATGGTTGTGGGTATAATGAACTTTCCTAACTTTTCTCGGAAAAAATATTTAATCGGAAGAAACGAGCAACGTTGGAATGGTAATACGGCGTCGAAACACAACATGAGCCTTTTAAGATTCATTATTCGTTGCCCCGATTATTCTTACGTGAGTTCGAATAATCGCGCCGAACACAGACAGTGCGGTCGGCGTTAAACGTACATTAGCGCCTGCAAGACTTCGGGAATACTTCACGCATTGCGCTAAACACTGCGGTCGGCGGACAGCCCATCCTAGCGCCTACAAGGCTGCATGGATACTTCTCGCAGTGCAGTCGGTCAATTGGCGTGAAACGCATATTAACGCCTACAAGACTTACATCTCTATGATTAGTTGAAACAGCTCAAACTTTCATATTTTATTATTAATAGTTAAATAAATAACACTAAGAAGCAATTTTAGAATTGAGTGCATGTCATCATTCTTGACTCTCTGCTTCAGTTTTTACCACAATTAAAGGGAAAATAGAGATTCGGATGATATTTAATTTTTTCTTTGGTTACATTAAGGGAAAATAAAACAAACAAAAGTATCGCATCGAAATTTTCGATATGTTCATTTGAGATGACTCCGGAAAATTTGCGGAAACTTTTCAGAAAAACTGTGTAGATTTCTAAAAACATTTATACAAAAGTGGTGCATAACGTCACACGGAGAAAAAAACCTCGTGCGTGGGACCCGAAGTTTAGGTCATATGGATCTCTGAAGTTTTCGGATTAAGCATCTGAACACTTTAGGTCTAGCTGTCGAGGTTCGGATCACACATCTGAAACTTCAAATGTGAGAACCGAAGTTTTTCGGATGTGAGAACCGAAGTTTTTCGAATGTAAAAACCTAGGTACTTCAGATGTAAGAACTGAAGTTTCAAATGTGTGATCCAAACCTCAGCAGCTGGACCTAAAATGTTCAGATGCTCAATCCGAAAACTTCAGAGATCCATATGATCTAAACTTCGGGTCCCACGCACGAAGTTTTTTTCTCCATATAGCCACTGAATCAGTCCATCGCAAAACAAAATAGTCGGCTGAATTCGTCAAAGACGGTGAGTCTGGTGATGATTTATCAGTGTTCTTATTTAAAGTTTCTATATCTTGAGGGAGAAAACTGACCTCTAGTGAATCCTCTTCAATGATGGACATTTTCCGCATTGGGCCGAGTTCTCGTCCGCGATCGCGTCACGCGTAACACTTAGCCGCGTCCGCCATGACGTCACGACGACGACGCAACGTCAGGAAACGCACATTTTCCAAAGTCAGTTCGCACTGTAACACCTTCTTTTCACACCGGTCAATTTCGCACATTTCGCGAACACACTTCCACCATTCTGAAGGGGCATGCTCTCGTACACTAATAATTCGCTCCGAAAGAAATCAATGCATGCTCTGGGAGCAGTACGTCATCCTTAAAAAGTGTGTCAAAGTAAGTTTTGGGGAAAAAATCTCCACGATTAATCAAGTCAAATTTGCATTCCACATAAAATTGCCCACTTTGTAAAATTAATTAGTAATATAAATGATTTAATAAATCCACAGATTTATACTTTCTTTTCCGTAAAAAAATAGAATCACGTGGTATTTACCGCAAAGTTGGGATTTTTTATAGCTAAGTTTAAATCAATCCATTTCCGAATTCATGTTTTATTGCGTAAGGAAAAATGCAAAAGAACAATCATTTACTCGAGTATAGTGTCAATCCTGCCTTACTTTTAGTGCTCTATGATTAAATAACATAATAGGCCTTGTCGCGGACATGATGGTATCTTTTACAGTAAAGGTGCAGCTGTTATTATTAAAATCATCTACAAAATTAGACAAACTCAGGTTACACATCTGACTTTACACGAAAAATTAAGGTCGCGTTTTGATTTATTTCTGTATCGCACAATTTTCCTTCAGGCGTAACATAAATATAGATTAAAAAATCCTTAAAGACGGTTTTCTAATATGAGATGGTCAGATTTGGATATTACCACAATGATAACTCATGGTGATCGTCGAAGACGAGTTTTATCAATCATTCGAAGGAAGCATCAGTATTGCTACCTTTGAGAAAATACCATCCCTCTTCGGATGTAACTTTTGCCTCACAACTTTGAATTACGCTGAGACAACCAACGCGGTATTTTTATAATATTTATCTCTGTCTATGACATCCTTTACTGCCGTAAAATCGATTAAATAAACGAGCACTTTAACACAAACAAGAATATGAAATACATCAATTCGTAAGCTCAATTAATTAGACCAGAAACGATTACACCATGGAGGTGGGGGGGAGGGGGGGAGAAGCAATGGGGCCGAGCGCGGGGCACACTGGATTTAGAATTGAATTAAAAGCACGAATGTAATTGGTCAAGAATCGGAATTACAAAAGACTTCACAAAAAATACCGTCAGCTTATTCAGTTTTTTGACAATTTTTCGCGGTCGACAACCGGGGTTTCTCCGGGAAAATCGGGAAGCCGAAACGGAACGACAGCACACGCTCGGCGACGCGGAGAGTGAAAACTGAAAGAAAAAGTAAAGAATGGGCGACGGCAGGTTGACCTCAGTCGGGATAATACATAGAGGAGCCCGATCGTTGCATAATAAACAATGAAAATAATGAAACGTTTGGGCGAAGATCAAAGCCGCTGATAGGAGGCGCCGCGCCGATTGTTACGAAAAGGAAAAGCGGCGCGCGGCGCGCCGCGGGCTGTCGTCCGCGTACGGCGGGTTGCATCACGCAGGATGTGGGATGCAGTTTACAAGTAGTGCGTTACAGTTGCCTGGTTACGCACCGGTGCGGTACTGGTGATTACTCCTACTCAACGAACTCGCGTGAGGTTTTCGGTGTTTCCGAACAATGCTGGGTCGTGTGCTCTTGGTCGACAAGGCCTCTTAACCTGCTCAGTCGTACTCAGGGACATGATATTTGGACATATTTCTGCCAAACGGACCTACGTGCATTAAGCCGTGAGCCCTGAGACCCATAAGAATATATGCATAACAGAGCTCACGTCATAATTCACATAGTTCCGTTTGGCAGAAATACGTCCATTTGAGCGTTTTCATGCTAAAAGGAACTATGTGCGACATAGTTCCTTTTAGCATAAATACGCCTATTTGAAAGGTCTCGCTCTACGTATCCAAACTGTGACATT